CGCCGGGTGCAGCGCCGAAGCTTCACCCCTGCCAGCTTCCTGGAGGAGGACACCGCTGACTTCCCCGACGAGCTGGACACCTCCTTCTTTGCCCGGGTAAGAGCACAGGGGTGTCACCCTGGAACCCTCCACTTCTGTGTTCCAACCTGACCGTGCGTGTTTGCTCAGGAAGGTGTCCTTCACGAGGAGCTGTCCACATATCCAGACGAGGTGTTTGAGTCCCCGTCGGAGGCAGCTCTCAAGGACTGGGAGAAAGCCCCGGACCAGGCAGACATGACAGGAGGGGCCCTGGACCGCACAGAGCTGGAGCGCAGCCACCTGATGCTGTGAGTGGCAGCGGTATGGGGGTTGGGCGTCGGGGTTGGGGGCAGAGGTCAGGAACAGTTGGGCCCTAGGGCCGGATGCCCTGGAGGGCTGTGGGAAGGGGTCCCCTTGGCTGCTGTGGCCAGATGACCCAGGGCTAGGCTCCATTCAAGTCTCAGCTGCCCACCTGTGGAAGAGAAGTGCAATCCCAGAACCCTCAGGCTGGACAGAATTCAGCCGGGAGGCCAGGGAGCTGCTCCTAGGCCTGGTCCCGGCTATCTGCCGTCTCTGGAGGGGCTCAGGATTGCTCTTTACTGGTAAGGAGGAGGGTGCACAGAGTCTTCACCACTACGTGGGAGCGAGATAGAGATGGAAGGTCGCCGTCGTCCTGCCTGGGCCAGATTGCAGCAGGACTGAGGGTCTGGTATGGAAAGTGACCATGCCTCTCCCCGCCAGGCCCCTGGAACGTGGCTGGCGGAAGCAGAAGGAGGGTGGCACCGTGGCCCCGCAGCCCAGGGTGCGGCTGCGTCAGGAGGTGGTGAGCACAGCAGGGCAGCGGAGGGGCCAGCGTATTGCTATGCCGGTGCGCAAGTTCTTCGCCCGGGAGAAGAGACCTTATGGGCTGGGCATGGTGGGGCGGCTAACCAACCGTACCTACCGCAAGCGGATTGACAGCTATGTCAAACGCCAGATCGAGGACATGGACGACCACAGGTAGGCATGGAGGGGCTGTGGCTTGTGGCAAGCAAGACTCAGGATTGGGGTGGGGGCCCAGGGTTGGAGATGCCACCTTCCCCACCTCTGCCTATGCTCTGCCCGCAGGCCCTTCTTTACCTACTGGCTCACCTTCGTGCACTCACTGGTCACCATTCTAGCTGTGTGCATCTATGGCATCGCACCTGTGGGCTTCTCGCAGCATGAGACCGTGGACTCGGTGAGCCCCAGCGCCCTTTCGGGGCCTAGACCAGTGAAGTCTGGGCTCTGGACTCCCTCCCATCCACTCTGGAAGAAGAGGGCCTGAGCGGGCTTCTTCTGATCTTGTTCCCCAACTTCCCAGGTGCTGCGGAACCGTGGGGTCTATGAGAATGTCAAGTACGTGCAGCAGGAGAACTTCTGGATCGGGCCCAGCTCGGTGAGGGAGGAGCCTGGCGGGGCGGGAGGGCAAGGCCTCTGGGCTGGCAGCTGACCAGGGCTCCAGCTGCACATTCTGCTCCCCGTAGGAGGCTCTCATTCACCTGGGTGCCAAGTTCTCACCCTGCATGCGCCAGGATCCGCAGGTGCATAGTTTCATCCTTGCTGCGCGGGAGCGGGAGAAGCACTCAGCCTGCTGCGTGCGCAATGATCGGTCAGGCTGCGTGCAGACCTCGGAGGAGGAGTGCTCGGTGTGTGCCCCTGCCCGCAACTCATGCCCTTGCAACTCTGCACCGCGTTTCTGGTTCTGTTGCGACTTCAGATGGAGCTGGTTGAGTTGTTCTTTACCCTACGTCTTGGCACATTACACCTTCTGTTTGTGTGACGTCCCTCACATAATATTCATTCCCTTTTATCCCCCAACTCCTCCATCTCAGCCCGTAGACAGTCTTTGTGATTTGGGTGTGCTCTTTCTGTGTGTCTTGTTTTCGCGCGTGTCTTAAGTTTACATAACTGGTATTGCCTTATTTTTTCCACTAACCAATTACAAAAAAAAGATTCACCCAAGTTTCTACTACATCCTTTTTATGAGGAGGTGCCAGCGTTTATACCCGTCCCTGATTTTGGACACAGGTTTTTGATTTTACACTGATAAGAATTATGTTCTTGAGCTTGTAACAGAATCTCCCCCTATGCACACACATTTCCAGTGTAGACATTTACAGATCTTGGGTTGTGGCCTAGGAAGGTCTCAGTGGTTTTGTTTTTTATTCCCGCCTTCTGGAGACTGTGCCGGGTGAGGGGCGGGCTCTGACCAGGGGCTGACCTTTCTCCCCACAGTCCACGCTGGCAGTGTGGGTGAAGTGGCCTTTACATCCCAGCGTCCCAGACCTCGCCGGCCACAAGAGGCAGTTCGGTTCTGTCTGTCACCAGGACCCCAGGTCAGTCCTGCTGGCCCTGACCCTCCCTCCCTTTGCCCATGTCTCCCTGAGTAGTGGGGGGAGGTGTAGCTGCTCCCTGCGTGGCGTCGGGTGGAAGGGTGACAATGCCAAGGGCAAAGATGGGTCTGACCACCTACTGGGCTCATGCAGGGTGTGTGATGAGCCCTCTTCTGAGGACCCCCATGAGTGGCCAGATGACATCACCAAGTGGCCGGTGAGCTGGGACAGAGAATGTTGGGATTGGGGACTCACGTGTATCATGGGGTGGGGGGAATCCACACCTCACCCATTTGTGAGGCCTGGAGGTCCCCATTGTGGGACCAGCCTGTCTTCAGATGTAATGCCTTTGGTCTTCGCCTCGCCTGTCCTTCCACCAACACTTGCCTCTCTGAGCACATAGTCAGAACCAGGTCGAGGCTTGGGAGGTCCAATGACATTATTTCAATTTGAAAACTGAGGCTTAGGATGCAGTAGCTTGCTTGAAGTCAAAGCCTGTTTTCTATTGTAGGACCCTGTCCACCTTTGCCCCAACCCCCAAAGCATGGTGTGGGGCCCAGGGTTGGAGGAGGCCCCTACCCAATTCATCCCCATTTGTGACCCAGATATGCACCAAAAACAGCGCTGGGAACCACACCAACCACCCGCACATGGACTGTGTCATCACAGGCCGGCCCTGCTGCATCGGCACCAAGGGCAGGTAGGCGTGCCTGGGCGCACAGCGCTGCCTTGGGGCCCTGTGCTTCTCCCCTCTCTCGAAATAGCGCGAGATACCAAGGGGTGTGGGGTGAAAGGGTCTGGACTTATCCAGGGGCAACTAAGATGGGTGAGTGGGGCTGAAACCTAGGCCTGGGGGGTGTAATCAGGTTCCTCTGCCCCTGGGCTCTAGCCGTCCCCCTCTGCAAGTCTTCCCAACCCTGACTTGCCTTCCCAGGTGTGAGATCACCTCCCGGGAGTACTGTGATTTCATGAGGGGCTACTTCCACGAGGAGGCCACACTCTGCTCTCAGGTAGGCATCCAGGGCAAGTGTCCTTCCCCTCTTCCCCTCCCCCACAGCCAGGGAAAGTGCTGACAGGCCACTCCGCACAGGTGCACTGCATGGATGACGTGTGTGGGCTCCTGCCCTTCCTCAACCCTGAGGTGCCCGACCAGTTCTACCGCCTATGGCTGTCCCTCTTCTTGCACGCTGGGCAAGTGACACCATATGGACTGAGCAGGGTTGGGTGGTCTTGGGGACCCCATGAGTGGCTGGCTGGGCGGGTGGCCTTCCCCGCTGAGTGTCCCTCTCCCCACCTCACAGCATCCTGCACTGCCTGGTGTCCGTCTGCTTCCAGATGACTGTCCTGAGGGACCTGGAGAAGCTAGCAGGCTGGCACCGCATAGCCATCATCTACCTGTTGAGCGGTGTCACCGGTAACCTGGCCAGTGCCATTTTCCTGCCATACCGGGCAGAGGTAAGGCTGCCCCCCCTGGTTCTAGCCTGGGAGCATCTCCATTGGCTCCTCAATCCTGCTGTGCTCTGGGTCATGGGAGGTGGGATGGCTACGGGTCCAGGGGTCCAGCTCAGCATCCCCACTGCCCCCCAGGTGGGCCCGGCTGGCTCGCAGTTCGGCATCCTGGCGTGCCTCTTCGTGGAGCTCTTTCAGAGCTGGCAGATTCTGGCTCGGCCCTGGCGTGCCTTCTTCAAGCTGTTGGCGGTGGTGCTCTTCCTCTTCACCTTTGGGCTGCTGCCCTGGATCGACAACTTTGCCCACATCTCAGGCTTCGTCAGTGGCCTCTTCCTCTCCTTTGCCTTCCTGCCTTACATCAGCTTCGGCAAGTTCGACCTGTACCGTAAACGCTGCCAGATCATCATCTTCCAGGTGGTCTTCCTGGGCCTCCTGGCTGGCCTGGTGGTCCTCTTCTACTTCTACCCTGTGCGCTGTGAGTGGTGTGAGTTCCTCACCTGCATCCCCTTCACCGACAAGTTCTGTGAGAAATATGAGCTGGATGCCCAGCTTCACTGAGCTGGAGGGGGTGTAGGGGCCGCAGGCCTCCAGCAGGCTGGAGCCAGGCAGACTGTCCACCCTGAGCCTCACAGGCCACGGGACTTTGTCGAGCAAGCCCTGTGGGCATCCTGCCTGTTTCCTGGACATAGACCTCTTGTGCCTTGTTCACTGCTGTTGAACCTCTTGTACTTCTGGGCATTTATTACTAGTTCCTGTGATTACCTTCTAACTAGTCTCTTGACGACCACCTCATGTGGCCAATAAATGGACTGGGAGCGTTTTAGCTGCCACTAACTTGACCAGAGCTGCCTTCTCCTTTCTGAAAGTGTCCAAGACACCTCGCCCCGCTCCTGCAGTGAAGTCCTTAAGCCAGGCGGACCCGCCTTGCTCCCCTTCCTTAGAGTGACTGATAGCCACAGACCCCTGGATAAGCTGTCACATTCCCCCCACACACTTAGAAGTGCCCCATCATCCCAGCCAGCAGCTTCTACTTCAGCACCAGGCTACCTCCCATTCAAGGAGCCGGGGGAAGGCACCGAGGCGGATGAACCCTGTGGGCTGAGGCTGGAGGCCCTGCACATGGCTGTGCCCTTGCACACAAGGCCCTTGCTTCTCCACAGGCAGAAACGGAAAGCTGCTTGCTTTGCTTTTATTTCCTCCCTGTTGCAGAGCTCACAGTAACAGGCTCACATGGCACCTCAGCCTTTTAGGACTCACCTGCACCATTCTAGGCCCCTTGCCTCCCCCATAATGGGGGCTGTGCCAGGCCCCCGCACCCTGGTACTGTGGCTTTTTTGACTTTTCAAACTAAGAAACATAAAGAGATTTATTCTGTACACAAGGCCAGGCCCACAACCCTGTGGGACATGCCATGAAACTATGGTGTTTGGGTCAAGGGAGGGGGTCAAGCTCAGGTCTTGAGCACTGGCTCACCCAGTCCTACTCCCGAGGGCCCAGAGTTCACAACAGTTCTGGGGGTGCACAGCTGGGTGAGCCTATCTCAACACTCTTCTGTGGATAGGGGACAGTGACCCAAGGCTTCCTTCTGCCAGGGAACAGCTTGGCTACCAGCACACAGTTGTCCTCGTTTGGAGGTTCATTTTTGCCTCAGCTTTTTGATGAAAGATACCTCATCCCGATTCCGGATACCATAACTGAAAGAGAAGGAAAAGTGTCAAGTATCTCATCTATAGAAGGTTATGTGTGTGACTCCTCACCTGAGGCTTGTGAGAAACCGAGAAAGAACAGCTGGGAAGTGTGTGCTGTCCAGGAGGGCAAGGAGGGGCAGTGGCCATCCTCCCACAGACCCACACCACGCCAGCGGGCAGCCTTTCACTTCCACACACTCCCTTTCTCCTCTTCCTGGCTCTGCGTGGGAAACAGTAGACCCCTCACTGGTCCTCTGCCTCCCATGCTCCTAGCAGGGAGAGCCCCCAGCAGGAGGACATCAGTCTAGCCAGGGACTCTCCTGGTCTCACAGATTCCCCAGGAACTGACTCAAGATCCCTGCTTCTTGGGAGGGGCCCAGCCTTCTGGCAGTGGATGTGAAACTGGAGGTCATACTCCACATGCCTCCCTGCAGCTCAAGCTGTGGTCTGAGCTTACTCTCGGAGCTTCTTCCTGTCCTCTGTGAGCTTTTCTCCGGCAGAAGTTAGGTGGTATGTCCTCCACACATAGGACCTGCAAGATAGGGATTCCAGTAAAGCACGAGCAGAGAGCGCCAAGCAGCGGGGATGCGGAAGCTGTGTGTGAGAAGGGCTCATGGTGCATCACCCCTAGGCACAGAAGCACCTGCCCTGTTCGAAGGATCTGAAGGATCTGAAGGATCTGAAGGACAGGGAGCTCGTCACTCATCAGTACTCTGTAGCGGAGATCAGGTGATTCAAAGCACATGTCTGGCAGGTGCTTCTGTGGAGTCCCACACCAACTCCCAGGAAGGGCTGCAAGGAGCCGCTGCTTCACTTACCAGCTGATGTGCTGAATGCCCCCTTCACGCTCCTGCCTGAGCTGCACGTATCTTTGGATGGCTTTCTTCAGATCCAGGACCGTGGCGTTCTGTACTACAACCACAGCTGCAAGAAGGGACAAATGAGAGAAGATCTCACAGCCACAGTATCATAGGGTAGGAGAGGAACCCAGAAGCCCCGTTGAGCCTTGTTGCTGACTGAGGCTCAAGTTTGGGCAGAGTGGGCTTGTGGTTGCCCCCAAACCCCTGGGCATGGCCTCTCAGTATCCCACTGACCAGCCCCTAGGAAAGCTCAGCCTGCATGGCCTGAAGGGAAATGGGCAGCACTTACGCATGACTTCTCCATCCATCTTGCACACTCGGACTGTCATTGCTTGGCCATATTCCAGGGCTATTTGGGAATTGACTTCTTCCAAAGTAACCTAGAAAAGACCAAGGGTGGAGGTGGGAGCCCTGGTTCTTTTTACCACCCCAAACAACAACGAAGAAAAACACGCTGATAGTGTCCAAAAGGTGGTGCCATATTTTATGAAGTACAAGAAAGGGAAGGGATTCTTGCTTATACATTAGGGCTTCCCCGTTTTTCAGCACCTCAATCTCATGTTCCACCGCATTTTCTATTTAAAGTCCAAAGTGGACAGAGGCTCGAAAGAAAGAACATAGAAACAGGCAAGGAGAATGAACAGCCCTGGATCATCTCACCCAGGAGAAGGGCAGGAGGAAGAACACTGCTTGTCAGTTCTGAGAACCCAGGATCCAGGCCAGGGCCTCGGGACAAGGTTGAGGCGGGTGTGCAATGATAAACATTGTGATACAACTTCGAAGAAAACCGTAGTTTAATTCTAAAACTCCGTGGACAAAATAATACTGAAGCTTGAGAAAGAAAAATCAGTAATACTGATTTTGTCTTTACTATTTTGTTTGCCATAGGCTTTTTCTTTACAACAACTTTGAGTTACAAATACGTGAATTAAAATGTCACGGATCCTAACTTTTTTTTTTTTTTTTGGCGCCCTTTTAAATTCCGTGCCCAAGGCGAGAGCCTCGCTTGCCCCATCTTAGGCCTGGCTCTGGTTTAAGACCCTCGTTTAAGCCAAGAGGTACCTTACTGAGGTCTCTGGGCCGCTGCCCCCATCAGCACCGGGGGCCGGTCCACGTCCCTACGCACGGCCCGGGGGGAACGACCCCGGTCCCTTGCCCATGCGCACCTGGATCGGTAGATCACAGAGGAGTGGGTCCTGCACCACCATGGCTAGACCTTCCTGGAACACGTCCACTGCTTCGGAGTGCGGGAGGGCCTCCTCTTCGTCCTCATCGTCCTCCGGCGCCTCGGGCCTTACAGCCGCCTCCGCCTCCGCCTCCGCCTCCTCCAGGGCGCCTCGATACCCAAAGAGCTCTGTACGTACCACCCGTCTGCGAGAGCGAGGCTGGGAGCAAACAACCGGGGAGCTCTACACGCAGTTCCGCCAGAAGAGCATCGAGGGGTGGGGCTTCCGCTAGAGCCAATAAGAAGTGCGAGACGGCCTGCCGCAGTGCTCGCTGGGAGCGCGGAATCGGCGTGTCTATTGGTGGGCTGAGGGGCCATGGCCAGGACGGAGGTGTGTTCAGTGCGGACGTAGCGTCGGCACCCGGGTGGCCTCAGCGACTGCGGAAACGTGTAGGGCCGAATCATCTGTCATGCTGCTCTTCTGCCCGGGCTGCGGGAATGGGCTCATCGTGGAGGAGGGACAGCGCTGCCACCGTTTCGCCTGCAACACTTGCCCCTACGTGCACAACATCACCCGGAAGGTGCGTTCTGGAGTCCGGCCTCAGGCCGGGGAGCCTCCCTCAGGCGTCCTGCGGCGCTCCACTCCCACCATCACCAGAGTCCGCCTGTATCCGGTCGGTTCTACCTTCGAGTCCACCTAGAATCCGGCCGTGTGTCCCTTACCGGCGTCGTCACCTTGGGTTATTGTCATTACGTCCCTTTGGGCTCGCGGCTCACACCTCTGCCCCCTACGCGGTGGTCACAACAGCGGCAGAGAGGTCCTATTGACTTAAGTCAGACCGAGCCCGTCCCGGGCTCAGAAACCCTCGGCAGTTCCCCCGCGCACTCAGTGAAAGCTAACGGGCTCACAGGACCGAACCTCTGCCCCGAGCTTCGTTTCTCTGATTTCACGTACCAAGGTGCTCCTCCGTCCCAGCAACGGCAGCCTCTTGGAGGCTCTCCCGTCATGCACGGGGCACAATTACCAGGGCCTAAATAGATTACAATAGGTCTTCTAAATTCCAACGGAGTGTCTGGCTCTGTGATAGCGGGAACCTCGTTTTCATTTAATATTACTGCAGTCAGTGTTGAAGGAAGGAAGTCTGGGGAGACACTGGAGGACAGGTATGGAGGTATGGTTTGGGGGCCCACATTTGTCTTGTTCATTGACCTGGAGAATTTAGAGTCTTGCTGCTGTTTGTTAGGTTACAAATCGGAAGTATCCAAAGCTGAAAGAAGTGGATGATGTGCTTGGTGGAGCAGCTGCCTGGGAGAATGTTGACTCTACTGCAGGTGAGAGTGAAGACCCTTTTTATGACTGAGCTGTGGATAAAAATATGAGGCTGCTGACTGCCAGCCATTCCATGTCAGATTCTGTGACTACTTACATAAAGTGGACTTCTAAAAATACAAAGTCTATTTGTTTTTTAATAACGTATTTATTACACAGGTAATACTGGGGCAAGTCTTGGAGGCATACATGTTTGAGTTAGAGTTTCAGGGTGACTTCTTACTGTTTTATGACCTCGGGGTCCCTTGACCTCTGGGGTGCTAATCCACACTCATAGATTGTAAGAGCACAAAGTGAATTATGCAGCGTTTGGCATATAGTAGGCACTGAACATGTGGTAACTAAATTGCAACAATGACAGGAGTAATAAAAATCAGTCTAAGAAAAAAAAAATGCGGTCTCTTTGTTCTAATGTAGAGTTTTAAAAGATAATACCAGAGACCATTAAACTGCAGTCTCAGTAAAATAAATGTTTATTTCAAGTCTTGATTCATTTCTGATAGAGATGTGACCAAAGAAAGACAAAGAAGAGCCATAGAGGCAACCAGTATTGAGAGGAGGAAGAGCTAAGTCATGATTAGTATACTGTATCCTTCCGGATAGAACTATCCAGATCTGCTATGTTAAAAACTTAGCAGTGGCAGAATTTGTCATTAAAACATGAATTATTTACCAAATGTTCAGAATGGTGTTTGAGAGTGTTGAAGGTGTTTCCATCAAGAGCAGAGTTAGTTTCTCAAAATGAAGTCACTTTGAAGGTAAATATGTGCCTCGGGGCACTCTGAAAAGGTGCAGGAGGTGTGGGGAGGTCTTGGTGAGAACAGCCTGTGGTACTCACTGCGGCAGTGCATCCCCGACGACAAGGGGCAGTGGATTAGCCATCCATTGGAGCTTCCGTGGGAAGATGAGCGGGCTCATCCGTGGCCCAGGTGGTGGAGAGGCCCTCAATGGGGGGAGTCTGGGGTATGGACCCTGTAATTCATACAGCAGCCATAAGGCACCTTTTATGTTGTTTCCAACCAGTCTTCCACCAGTTTTGAGAAGAAAAGTGGGACCCAGAGAGGGAGGAGAAGTGTTTTCAAGCTCTCCTGGGCTCCCTGAGTGTGAGCGCATATGGGGAATGAGACCACTGTGTGTAACCTTGAATCGTGGTACAAGGGACACTTGATAAGCATGGAAGGTCTTTGTGGCCTTTCACGTAACACCTACTTCTAACAGGTATGTTGGTCACAAACATTTTTTTGTCTGGGTCACTTGTTTATTTTTCTTTTTTCTAGAGCCATGTCCCAAATGTGAACATCCCCGAGCCTATTTCATGCAGCTTCAGACCCGCTCTGCAGATGAGCCCATGACCACCTTCTACAAGTGCTGCAATGCTCAGTGCGGACACCGCTGGAGGGACTAGAGCCAGGCTGGCCCAGCTGTGTTAGTGGTTGTTTGCCTTGTTCCCCAGAGTGGATTCCTAGCTGGGAGCAAGCACTGTGTATCCTGAGGGTCTTTGCTGGTGTGGTGGAAAGCTAACGTTTTTAGGGTTGTTCACCAGGGTGTCAGGAAATGGATAGCTCACCTGCCAGTCAGTGGATGAACTCGTTAATGTCCAGGGAGATTTTGTGTGTGGATTTATCCACAACTAAGTAGACTCTCTGTTTAAGATCCTGCTCATTCATCCTTTATATTTATTGGACAATTGACATTCTTTTACTGTCAACCAATCTTAAATATTTACATTGTTTGCATAACTAATATAGTAAACTTATTAATTTAGTACATTAGTTGTTCCTAAATATTTAACTGTTAATTGCAAACTTATTTAATCAAAATTTATTCTGAATGATAATTAAAGTGAAAAATTTAATACTGCCTTCTCAGTGTTTTTTATATGACTTAAGTAGATGTCAAACCACAAATCGTGATTCCAAAATTAACTACTGTACTTAGGACTACTGTAAGTTGATTACAAAATTGCTAATGTAGATTTAAATTTATTATTTCTATTCTTGCTACTTAGAATTACAATAAATATATTAGATTTCTGTGTTTTTCTTTCCACTCTGAAAAGAAAAAGGACACTTTGTACTAGCTGGGGACAAGATCTAGGTTATTGATAAATTGAGTGCATCGTCAGGGCCTTGGACTTAATTGCTTTTCCAAATCTCTCTTTTTAAAAAAAAAAAGATTTTATTTATTTATTTTTAGAGAGAGGGAGAGAAACATTGATGTGCGAGAGAAACATCAATTGGTTACTTTTCTTATTCCCCGAGCTGGGGATCTGGCCTGAAACCCAGGCATGTGCCCTGACTGGGAATCAAACCAGTGACCTTTCAGTTTGCAGGATGATACTCAACCCACTGAGCAACACCAGCCCGGGCTCCAAATCTCTTAATATGATGTCTCACTTATAAAGTCATGGGACTTATATTTATGCCTTTGATACAAAGTTTTACTTTTTTTTAAGTCTGTATTTTTCCCAGAAATGATTAATTTTTTTCTTTTTGTAATTTATTTTTATTTTTACAAATTATACCATGCTAAAACTTCATAAAAATTTCTCATGTGACGTAATTTTCTTTTAACAGTTTAAAAGTTCATCAAATGCATACCACAATCGATTTTGTTGTTGTTTAAATAGGGATTTCTCACAATTATAGCATCACACAAATTTAAGCTGAGACTACACTCAGAAATAAGTTTAAAGAATGGCATTATAAAAGACTGGGAATGAGTAGTAAAAAACAAAAACAAAAAACCATGGAGGGCTGCTGTACAGTAGTAGTAGTAAATCAGGTGTTTTCACTCTAGTAAGTCTTCAGTGCCACCAAGCTTAAAAGCCAGTCCTCCAAAGAAGATGAAGGGGCCCTGGCCAAGTTGCTCCGTTGGTTGTAGCGTTGTCCCAGTTAGGGTGCACACAGGATGTTTCTCTCTCTCCCCACTCCCTCTCTAAAGTTAGTAAAACATCCTCTGGTGAGGGGTAAAAAATAAAGATGAAGACATGTTGGGAAAATACAGCAATTCCAGGGTATACTATGGCTTTTTCTTTAGCAACGTAATCTCCAAAGAGAATCCACGTAGATGCAATTAGAGAGCCAAATGCCAATATGAGACCAATGAACAGCTAAGTGCGAGTGCCTGTTTGACCCAGGAAACCTTCACTGTTGCTGTTAGCTTGGACTCGTCCGTTCCATACTGCATTAATCATTAGGAAGGCTGTGGTTGTCATAACACCACAGGCATGCTATGAATGATTGAACTCTTCCACGGTGGGGCAGATGACAGCTGCATCTATGGTAATCCACCAGCCTGTGAAAAATGGAACGCCAGTGGCAATGGAAGCAGTAGTGTCGCATTCTTCCCAAGCCCCAATCAATGCATTCTGAGCATCTCAAGCCTTCTAGAAATCCAGACATTTCTTCAGGTCGGTCCAACCCAGAAGCCCTGTGTTATGATGCTTGGGGGTGCCTCACGCAGTTTCAGTTCAGAAGTGATGAATCTTTAAGTTTCACATACTTGTTTTCTTATTGCTTTAGCATGTTGACTATCTGGGGATCTGAGCCCATTATCTGTAACTGATTCTATTTCAAGACAGTTTGTTCTGGTTTTACAAATGTGATTTCATCATGTGCTTTAGTATCTTCTGCTTCTGCCACTAGTTTTATTTTCTCAGGTGCCAGTTCTTCCGTTTGTATTTGTTGTTAGAAGCCTCGTGGATCTGTGGGAAGATCATGCCCTCCGAAGTTAGCCTGCCTGCCTGCGTTATGCATGAGACCTCAGTCAGGCTGCTAAACCTCTGCTTTTATTTCCTCATGTGTAAAATGGAGATAATAATGGTCCATTTCAGGGGTTTACGAACTTTTTCAGTAAAGGGTCAGATAGTAAATATTTTAGACTTTGTGGGTCAGGAGTCAAAATCTAGGAAAACACAAGAAAACAACTTCCACAATTTTTTTTATAGGTAGAGTTCAAACTTTAATCATAGTAATTGAGTACAGTATTTTGTTATTCAGGTCTATTGAAAATGGATACCATTTTGCTTAATTGGGATTCAAAATTAGTAGTGTTTCTTGTCATCAAAATTGAGTGCAAATGTCCTGGCTGGTGTGGCTCAGTTGGTTGGGTGTTGTCCCGCAAACTGAAAGGTCACCGGTCCGTTTCCCAGTCAGGGTACCTGCCTAGGTTGCCGGTTTGGTCCCTGGTTGGAGTACCTATGAAAGGCAACCAATTGATATTTCTTTCCTCCTCTCCCTCCCTTCCCCTCTCTCTAAAACCAATAAGCATGTCCTCGGGTGAGGATTAAAAAACAAATTCTGAAAAAATTGAATGCAACTATGCATCTGTTAATACTAGTTCAGTGTGTGAAATCCATGCTTGACATTCAGTACTGATGAGACATGCCGATATTTTCCTCAAAGCATTTGCTGACGGGTAATACAGTGAAAAAAGACATAGTCTTTAAACACTTTATGTTTTTACAAGCTTTGTGAATTTTTTCACCTAAACTTTTTCATGCTCCATGTATATCTTTACCACCATCCATGATAACACATACTGGCAGATTTCACTTCAGATTCTGCTGAATTAGTGTTTTTGAATTTTGAAAATATTCTTTTTTTTTTAAGCCTCACTTAAGGACATTTTTTTCATTGCTTTTTTAGAGAGAGGAAGAGGGAGAGGAACGTTGATGCAAGGGAGGGTATCAATTGATTGCTTCTCATACGTGCCTGGACTGCACCTGGACCAGGGATTGAACCCCAACCTAGGTGGGTGCCCTGACTGGGATTCGAAACTGCAAAATTGTGGGATGATGCTCTAACAAACTGAGCCACCCTGGCAAGGACCCTTGAAAATGTTCTGCCTGCAATTGTTAGTTGTTCCTTGCAGACTGTGCATAGAGGCTAATTCTTCAGTCACTTCCCAAATCAGCCTTGACGTCTTGAAACAAGCATCGAACTATTTCACTAATATCTGTGGATTGGTCAAGAGCCAAGGAAAATGACTTCAAAGCATTCGCCTCATTTTGAATTGACTATTAATGTTGCTGCCAGTGTCCTTAAGTTTTTTGTTAAATTGTACTGAAGCACTTCTATTTATTTAAGGATCCCCTAGTGAGTGAGTGTCCTTAAGTTTTAAGACAATTGTTTTCACCTAAAGGCTGATCATCTTAATGTTATTTTCTCTGGACACACTTCTTGCTGCTGCAATCAAACACATATAAGTCACAATAAGTAAGTAGCTTTCCTTGCTTGGTGACCAAATGACCCACTTGAAATTTGATTTGTTTGCCTCATTTTTACTTTCAATTTTTGTGAAGAAGTTTGTGTATTGAGAATAGTGCCAGTGATGGGCGCTTAGTCCGGTAATGTCAACTAGCTGCAGTGTCATTGCATAATAAATACAGTCCTTTGCCATCTGGTTTGGTGACAAAATAATCCACTCTCCACTGTGTCTTAAAAACAGAACATTCATAGTTAAAATTTAAAAAAATTATTTATTTTTAAAAAATCGAGGTAACATTGCTAATATCATTCTATATAAATTTCAGGTGCATAGCATTATTACTTGATGTGTGTACACTCTATTGAGTGCTCATTGCTGAAAGTCTAGTTTCCATGTATCATACATTTGACCTCTTCTACCAATTTGCCTCCTCTCCCCCTTTCCCCTCGGGTAACCACCATTCTTTTCTCTGTATCTATGAGTTTGTTTTTGTTTTGTTTTATTCATTCATTTGTTAGTTTTTTGTTATATATTCCTCATGTGAGTAAAATCATGGTTTTTGTTTTCTGTCTGACTTATTTCATTTAACATAATACCGTCTAGATTAATCTATGTTGTCACAAATGGTAAGATTTCATTCTCTCTCATGACTAATATTCAGTTGTATATATGCTTCACAATGTTATCTGTCCGTCTATCGACAGACACTTAGGTTGTTTCCATATCTTGGCTATTGTAAATAACGCTGCAATGAACATAGGGACACATATATCTTTTCAAATTAGTGTTTTCATATTCTTCGGATAAATACCCAGAAGAGGAATTGCTGGATCATATAGTAGTTCTATCCTTAATTTTTTGAGGAACCTCTGCACTGTTTTGCATAGTGTTTGTACCAATTTACAGTCTCACCAACAGCGCAGGGGGGGTTCCCTTTTTCTTTACATCCTTGCCAATGCTTGTTATTTCCTGTCTTTAAAAAATTTTGTTTAATTCTCATCTGAGGACATGCTTACAGAAAGGGGAAGGGAGGGAGGGAAAGAAAAACATCGATATGAGAGAGCAACACCGCTCGGTTGCGTCTTGCACACAATCTGACAGGGGACCAAATCTGCACCCCAGGCATGTGTCCTGACCGGGAATCGAACCCATGACCTTTTGGTTTATGGTATGACACTCCAGTCAACTGAGCCACACTGGCTAGGGCATTGCTTGTCTTTTTGATAATAGCCATTCTGGTAGGTATGAGGTGATATATCATTGTGGTTTTGATTTGCATTTCCCTGATGGTTGGTGATGTTCAGAGTTCACTTTTCTTGTTTTGACATGTTAAGTATGCACTGGTGATAAGCAAAAAAGTAAAATGAACGTAGCAGTACAACAGTATGGTGGCCCTTGAAATGCTGAGCGTTGACCACACTGCTGAGGTGTGTGTGTGCTGAGCAGCCGCGTGAAGCTCTGTTGCCATTGCTCACCTCTGTGTTACAGTGTGAAAGCAGCCGTAGACAATACACATATAAGTGAGTGTGGTTGTGTTTTAATAAAACTGCGGACACTGAAATTTGAATTTTATATTTTCATGTGTCATGTAATTTCTAAAGCAGTTTCCCCCCAACCATTGAAAAATGTATAAACTATTTTTAGCTCACAGGTTTTTATAAAAAGGAGTGCGCTGGATTTTGTCTGTGGGGTGCAGTTTGCTAACACTTGATGTACCTCATAGGGTTGTGGGAATTTATGTGGCTTCACATACATGAAATCCTTACACTGTCTCTGAATGAATGGTATTGTTAGTGTCTGTTTTTTTTTTCATGGTGTTGTATTTTCACAGGTATCTACTGGCTCCTGGATGTGTGTTCATTGTGCTTGATGTTCTTCCTCTATGGATATTGTTTTTCTATTTATCTCCATTTACTGTGGGAGAGGGGTGGGGCGTGAGGGTGCGCCATCCGGGCATTTTCTGGGCAGAGGCACTGGCTTCCGTGAGTGTAAGTGTCCAGTGAAGGGATCTGCGAGCAGGCTACTCCACGAGCCCTGCCCAACACAAGGGCAGGTGTGGGAACTAAGCTGGCCTGCTCTGCTCTTCTGCAGTCAGCACTCGGGTGAATCCTGGTGACTGTCCAGGACTCTCCTGGCTCCTTTTCCTTACCCAGAAGGGGCACGTGTCTACTTTCTCAGATGTCCTCTCTGTGCGTTTTTTAGGATGTGATTTCCTGTGTCAGTCCACTCACATGTCAGCTGCCTCCCTTCTTTCAGAGATTCCTTCTGGTGAATCCTCCGTCTTGTTTTCTGCACTGTTATGATGTATTCCTTTTGTTTTGTGTCTTTTGTTTAAGATACTGTATTTGTCACTTATATACTTTTCCTTTTAGTTCTTTTTTTCAGTTTCTATTTCTCTGTTTATATCTGTTTATATCTGAGGATAAATTAGCTGCTTTAAAACCTGTGTGATTTCTAACAATTTAGTCTTGGAAGTCTGTCTGCATTGCTTGTCTTTCTTGTGTATGGGTCACTTAGTCCTGTTTCTTCATATGTTTAATAACTTTGGATTTATTTGGAAATTGTGAATAATATGCGTTGTAGAGAGTATGGATTCTCTGAAGAGTTTTGTTTTTTTTCCAACAGAGTATAAACTCTGTGTCTCCGATATAGGCAGCAGCTGAAACCTCTTTTCAGGTTGTATAACTTTTGCTGGGCTGCGTGGAGTCGGCCTGTACACATGTAGGTCAGGGGTAATTCAGAGATTTTGGTAGAGTTTAGATGCAGAACTTGGGGTTCTCCTCTCTAACTTTTTATTTTCTATGATTTTCTCCCTTTTCAGCCTTTGTGGTCTCCACTTGTGCAACCATGGGGTGGGTGGTGTGGTCTGCTGGTTTTAAGTTAGTAAATTATAGCTTTAGCAAGGTAAGAGGGAGACTGGTAGACACAGGGAAGGCAGTTCTCTTGATAAAGATACTAGTGAAGGGATGGCTGCAGTGAGTATAAAGTGTGTCCCTGTAGTAGGTAATATGGGGGCCAAGCTGATTGAAATTTAAATATTAGAAAGAAATGTGATTACGCCCCTGGTCATTCATAAGGTATTTCCTGGGTTTGAGCTTTGAGTCCATCCCTCTGTGGGTCCTGGTGTTCTCAGGCTCCAGAGAGCTGCACCTCTGAAGAACCCAAGCCTCACCCAAGATGTTTTGATGCACAGGACACACACGTACACACATGTGTGCACACAGGCACTCACTGATAAACATAGGCACATATGCACACTGAAATGTGACTTATTTGGTACTGAAAAGAACACACAGTAAGTATATGAAAAGAAGCTTATCTTCACTAATAACAAAGTGCAAATAAAAACCACCTTGCAATATTTTTGCCTATTGAATTGGCAGAGATTAAAAAGACTGATAATGTATACTGTTGGTGAGGATTACAGGTATTCTTACACTTCCAGTGGGAGTGGAAGTTGGTACAATTTTGGAGGGTTACTTGGCAATATCTATTGATATTCTTTTATTTTTACTAACTCACTTTTAGAGAGAGGGAAAGGGAGGGAGAAAGGGAAGGGAGAAATATCAGTGTGTGAAAGACACATCGACAGGCTGCCTCTCACACACCACCAACTGGGAACCTGGCCTGCAACCCAGGCATGTGCCCTGACTGGGAATCGAACCAGTGGTCTTTCAGTTCACAGGCCAGCACTCAATCCACTGAGCCACACCAGCCAGGGCTCTACTGATGTTTTAAAATGCTGAACCTTAGACCACAATTCCACCCCGAGCAAGTACTCATTCTGGTGATTAAAGATCCATGCCCAGAATTGTTCACTACCTTCATTTAAAATGGCATAGGTAACCCTGGCTGGTGTGGCTCAGTCATTTGAATGTAGTCCCACAAATGGAAAGTTTGCGGGTTTGTTTCTGGGTCAGGGCACGTGCCTGGGTTGCGGGTTCAGTCCCCAGTCAGGGTGTGTACAAGAAGCAACCAATCAACGTTTCTCTCGCACATCGATGTTTCTCTCCCTTTCTTCCTCCCTCCCTGGAATCAATAAAATAAAATAGCATCTATACCCTTGAAACTAATATAACATTATATGTCAAGTATATCTCAACAGAAATTCTAATAGCATATATAGACAACAATCCAAATGGCGGTGGTGGGATTATGAAGTCATAGTATGAACTACCATTACAGGCATGAGGTAGGTTTTGTGCTGACCTAGCAAAGTGCTGAAAATAGAGGAACAAGGAGGCTACGAAGCTCAGAGCATAGTATGAGTCCATTAAAAATGTGCATTTGAGCTTAGGAATGTCTGGAGGGACTTGTGCCCACCCTTTCACAGGGGCACTTCTGGGTAAGATAAAGGTGACTCCCATTTTTTATTTCCTCTGATCTTGTTTTTCTTTAACTGAGACTGCATTATTTTATTTTATTATTTTAACACCCTCTCTATCCCCCATCGCTCACGGATTGCCTTAGCTGGAGAGCAGTCTGCACCTCTGGTCTCAGAAAAGCCTAGGAGGGGGTGAGGCCCACTGTCGTTTGCCTGGCCAAGGTCCTGGCTTCCTGGGGGTGCTGCTTAGGAAGAAGACGCTCATTCGCCAGTCAATGGACAAGTCTCCAAAGTCCATGTCTGGCAACCTTCGGGATCACGGGGAATGAAAGTTGTCCCAAGTTGTGATTCCTGGGTTTGTGATGAGTGGTAACAGTCACCTCTCAGCCCTGCTCGGGATAGCTGCTTCGCTGTGCGCTCGTGGTTTTAGATGTGGGCGGCCTATGTCAGCCTGTCGTGCGAGTCTCACGTCACTGGTTAGTGCACTTATCTCCTGAATCAGGCTGAGGGGCTTTGCTGTGAACACAGGGACTGTCCTTGCCAGGGGACCCAGCAGATGCATCTGGGAAGGTGAGTGTGCAGTTGGAACTTCCTAACCACTCAAGTCAGTGTGAACTTCAGAGGCAGAGGGGCCGGGCAGCCTGCCTCCCCTGCGCCCCAGGAAGAGCCTGTGGAGGAGCCCTGGCAGCGGGCTGTCTGGGAGCACCGCCCCAGCTTCACCTCCTCTGGTGTCCTTGCTTGGGCATCTCCCAGAGACAGCAGATTGGCAATGCGAACCGTAGGATGACAGACTGCCACTTCCAGGCCTGTGGGGGTCGTGAGTGCCACTGGGCAGAGGGAAGGCACTGTGTTTGTCAGGCAGAGTTTCTGATTGTGAAAGAGGCTCCGCTTCCTTGATGACTGAGCTGACCTTCGCTGGGGGCGGGGTGGGGGCGCTGAGTGAGGATGAGTGAGCATTCCAGGGCCGCACGGTCTCCGTTGTGATGGCCGTGGGTGGAGATGAGGTCCAGGCCCTGGGGTTGGCAGTTTCTCCAAATCCCTGTTTTGGGTGGTTTTAGGGCAGATGAGGAGCTGGGAGTCTGGGGATATCCCCCCTTAGAGCTACCGGTGGGGTAGCCGGTGAGGGTGAGATTCTAGAAGGCGAGTCAATTCAGCAAAGCAGAGGGAGAGGAAAGGGTTCTTGCTCAAGTTAACGTCCCAGAGCAGCCTTCCCAAAGCATCGATGCTAAGCAGAAGCAAGGGCAGATTCTGCAGGGAGTTTCAGGATGCATTTGTTAAACAATTTAGAATGGGTGCAGGGGGCACAGCAGAAATCAGCTTCTTGCCCCGGAGGAGCCTGACCTGGGGAGGCTGCCGAGGGGCAGTGAGGGCCGCCGGAGGAGGCTGCAGCAGAGGAGGGGTGGTATGTCTCCTCGTTTAACCTCGAAGCCCCGCAGAGAGAACTGTGTCAATACCCACATTCTATCCCTTACCCATAGCGGCTGCCTGTCTCCTGGCTCCTGTTGCGTCTGGCTGAGGAGGAGGACTGGGTGCTCTGGGTGGGCTTCACGAGAGAAGAGGCATGTTATGGGGACGGAAGCCAGGCAGAGGGGAGAGTGTGAGAGAAGGCCAGGAGGCAACCTTGCAAAGCTCAGGGTTGTAGAGCAGACCAGTAGGGACCCACGTGGGCTCCCTAGGCCCCCTCTACCTCCCTGTGCTCCTCTGACTTCTATCCTCAGCCCCCTCCCTCCTCCTGCCCTGTGGCCCTCCCTCTGTCTGTGCCCTTGTCCATCCAAGGCCCCTCTGGGTCCAGCCGTTACCTTTCCCATAGCTCCTGTCTAGTGTGTCCATGTTTCCCAGGCATGTGCCCCCAGATGGAGCGGCCCCTTCTGCTCACCCTCCTCTTCCTCCCGCCTTCTCTGCCCCCTCACTGGACTCATGGGAGCCGCCTCGATCTCTCCGGCCCCTGCCCTTCTGCACCCGCTGTGCACCCCGCATTGGAAGCACAGTGTCTTCAAGCGCTTTCTGCCCAACAGCATCTGCAGTTCCTGTCGGTGCCAGGGGTGGCCCACATGCGCTGTGTGGCCCAAAAGGGGAGTTGGCCTCTGCTCCCATTTCTGGCTCCATTTCCTAGCACAGTCCCCATGTCCCCCAAGTTCCAGCTGTTTCTGGGGAGCCAGGGTCTGAACTTATTCCTCCTTCCCAGCAGAGAGAAGACAGAAGATAAGTGTTCATTTAATTAACAACTTCTATATCGTCCATCTCTGTGTCTGCCAGCTTCTTGGGTGGGTGGGGAGAATAACAGGGGATATCACTCCCTTCCTGTGAAAAAATATAAAATAGACTCTGTAAAATGGGCAGTGAGTGGCTGCAGTAATTGGTGTGAAGCCGACTCGGAGGGTGTGCTGTACGGCAGCAGGGGCCCCGGGCCGGCCCGGCCGGCCGCCGTCACAGGCCTGCCTGCTTTGGCCTGGGATGCCACCTGGCCTCAGGCGAGCGCTCAGGGTGTGAGGGCCAGGGAGGTGAGGGCCTGCGTCTGTCTGGAGACGTGCCCCTGGTCTGGCAGTGTCTGTGGGTCCTGAGACAGGGAGGGGTCCACCGTGACTTCGGGCTGGGCCCAGAAACCATGGCGGGCAGGCTGAACTTGGCCCCGACCCCAAGGCGGTGGAGGAGATCGGGTTCTGGGAAGCGGCCAGAATGGTTGTTGGCTGATGGCTATATCCATTGGTCTGATGGAAGGGCAGTGCTGGATAGCGACATCAGCCAGGCACCCCAGCATGACTAGAGACGTTAGGGGGCAGCTCTGTCCCAAGCAAGCGGACACCGGCTTCTGCTGCTGCTCTCACAGCCGTGTGGGGACTTGGTATTGTCTGAGCTGTGATTAGGCCTCCCTGGTGTCATCCCAGTGCCTCTTACAGGGCCAGGGAGTATGCAGGTGGGGCTTTCTGCACCTGGCTCGGTGACTGTTGTCAAGGATGGGGGCGGCCCTGTTTCAGTAATGTCCCTCCGCACACTGGGGCAGTGCCCGTGCACGTGGGGCCTGCGGCCTGCTGTGCCTGGGCTCCTGGCGCCCACTCTGACGCTGCCTTCTCAGGCCCCACAGTGAGCCATTGTCAGGCAGCTTCCCGTCCCCACCGGGTAGCAGCTGCAGGAGGGCCAGGCGCCGCGGGACCAGTGCCGTGGCTGGTGGCGCCGGTGACGCTTCATTCTAGGGATGGGTGAGGTCTTCTTGGTCTTAACAGGGGTCTGTGCTGCGGGTGCGTGGGTAGCCTGCCAGGGACATGGGGTGGGGTTGGAGTGGTGTCTGCTGCCTGGAGGGTGTGTGCTGGAGTCTGTGTGCATGTCTGCTTTTTTGCCTCCTTATCACCCATCAGGCTTGCATAACCAGGCTGACCCTGCTTCCTGCTTCGGAGCTATCAGCCTACCATCTGGAGCTGCAAATGGGGTGATAGGCCATCAGCAGCTTCCCTGCAGCACCCAGGCACTTCCTAACACCCAGCCCCTGTCTCCAGCTAACGTCTGGCTCCTCCGGGGATCCTGGGGCTTGGGCTAGCACCTCTGAACAAGGGTGTGACAGAGTTTAGGAAGTGCCTTCTGTTGCACGGACACCCCGCTGCCGTCCTCCTACGCCTTCCTGTGGCGGAGCACTGGGATAGGGCTTTATTGAAGGAGCCAAAAAGGAGAGAGGCTATGTTAGGGGTCAGCTGTGTGACCCTTGGCAAGGCACTTCCTGTTCTTGGGAGTCACCTCCCTGGTCGGGAACAGGGACAGTCTTCCTGCCTCATGAGTCTTGTGGGCCTCCCAGTGGATAATGCATGTTACTGTCAGCAGAGGGTGTGACGCCTCAGAGTTCAGGATGGGGCCTGGGCCCAGGGACAGGGGTCTGGGCTGGCAGAGGGCACTGGGCCCAGAGAGGAGCCTGCTGGGCAGACTCAGATGCGTGGCAGATTCAGAGTCCAGGACCCACGAGGAGATCTGAGTATGAGGGTGCCCCCTTGTATGTCGTAGCCGTGGGTCTTTGTCAGGTTAACTGACCCCTCTGAGCTGCGGTTGCTTATTGGTGCAGCTCGGACAGTGGTGCCCAACTTCTCTCACAGGACACGGTGCGCGTGTAGGTGGTGACCCACTCAGAGCACTCTGCTGGGGGGCATGCCTCCCGGGGGGATCTCCTGGGGAGCATCCCTTGGGACGTGCTCCTCACACATCGCCCCTCAGCCCCATCCCTTGCAGGCTGGACCTTGGAGAGCGAGGCCCTGGCGAGAGGGATGAGCGCCTGGCTCCTGGTCTGCACCTGGCTTGGCCTGGGAGTCCCGGTGCCCGGGGAAGGAGGAGGTGAGGGCACTAGTTGCTGGGCAACAGGGGAGGGGGGAGGGCTGCGGGGCAGGGCTGTCCTCTGCCAAGCTCCACAGGGGAGGGTTTGGCCGGAACCATGCTAGGACCTGTCCTCCAGGGCCCAGTCCGGACTGCAGTCCCACCCTGCACCTTGGGTCAGACAGAGCCCATCGCTTTCCAGGCCTCCCAGCCTTGCCCTTGATGAATTCCCCTGGTATTATTCTTTGGGGACTACCCTGTTAGGGCGTCAGCTTCCAGACCTCCCCCTCGCCCAGCCCTACCCTGAGGCAGCCACTGTAGGCTCCCAACGGTCACTGTTCCCAGGGCTAGGGGCTGGAGCTTTCACCTGCCTCACCAACAACATCCTCAGGATCGACTGCCACTGGTCTGCCCCAGAGCTGGGCCAGGGCCCCAGCCCCTGGCTCCTCTTCACCAGGTGAGGCTGGAGGGCCAGACCCACCTGGGCAGAGGGCAGGCTAAGGATAGGGTCCCCGTGACAGCAGCAGCAGGGGCCAGGCTGGTGCGGCAGCCTCTTGGCGCTGATACCGAACCCTTTCTAGCAACCACGAGCCGCGCAGCAAGCACAGGTGTGTTTTCCGGGCCAGCGTGTGCACCCTGGTGCTGCCACCCGAGGAGGTCCTTGTGCCTTCCGACAACTTTACCATCACTTTGCACCGCCACATCTCTGGGAAGGAGCAGGCCAGCCTGGTGGACCCCCAGTACCTGCCCCGGAGACATGGTGAGGCCTGGGGTGGGGCGCCTTGGCTGGAAACATCATGGCTGCCTAGGTGCTGGGGGAGGGCCCGGCAGCCTGTAACCCCCATGCCTAGTGAGTGCTCTTCGTCCCTGCCATGAGAGACCCGGGGCTCGGATCAGGCCGGGCCCAGGAGGGGAGGCCCCCTGGTTGCTGGAGGGGTTGAGTTTTAAAGGACGATGAAGATACAGGGCTTTGTGTTGGAGCCCGGACTGCAGCTTGAGTCACCTGAAGTGCTCCTGAGTCAAAGCAGGAAGGAGCCCAGTGAGCCATGGGGAAGAACCTTCAATAGCAGCTTATAAAGGAAGGGGAAGGCAAGCTCTGAGAATCCCCTTGCCGTGCTGCAGGGCCTGGGAGAAGTCCTTGCTGTCCTGTTTCACCTAGGGCTTCTTGTTCAGCCTCCCAGTGAGGCCCCTGGCCTGCGAGGGCCTCGACCGTGGCCTCCCAGGAATCTTTCAGCCCCCAGCCTTGGGCATGCTGACCGACATGCTCTCACGTGGCCTCATTCTGTTTCAGTGAAGCTGGATCCTCCCTCTGACTTGCAGAGCAACGTCAGCTCTGACTCCTGTGTCCTGACCTGGAGCGTCAGTCCTGCCTTGGAGCCTCTGGCCTCGCTGCTCAGCTATGAGCTGGCCTTCAAGAAGCAGGAAGAGGCTTGGGAGGTAACGCTCGGGCTGGCCACCTTGGCCTCTCTGCCCCCTGGGAGCAGCAGCTCAGGCCCATTGCTCATTCCACACAGGGAGATGTTGGCTTGGAATTAAGGGAAGGGGAGGTGACCAGAGCCAAGAGTATGTGTGTGCAAGCATGCACGTGTGTTTGTATGTGTGTGGGTACAGGTACGTCTGTGTGTGAGTGTGCCTGTGCGTGACCATGTGTGCATGCAACATGGTGAGTGTGCCTGTGTGTACATGAATGTGTGTGTTCCTATATGTGAGTGCTCATAAGGTATGCCCATGTGTATGAGCATAGTGAGCATGTTTGTGTGTGTACGTGTATGTGATGTGCATGTGGGTAGATGAATATAAGTGTGTGCCTTTGGGTATGTGCATGTGTATATGTGCAAGTGTGCACTTGTGGATATGGTTATGTGTATGTGAGTGTGATGGGTGTGTCTCTCTGTGTGCGTGTGTACGTTCTCAAGGGCTGACAGACCCTGTCTCACTCTCAGCAACTGCTAATTGTCTTCAACCCCATAGCGGGCCCGGTACAAGCATCACATCATTGGGGTGACCTGGCTCATCCTTGAAGCTGTGGAATTGGACCCTGGCTGCATCTATGAGGCGAGGCTGCGTGTCCAGATGGACACCCTGGAGAACGCCATTGCAGAGGAGGAGCGTTACGAGGGCCACTGGAGCGAGTGGAGCCAGCCCACGCTCTTTGCCTCTCCCCAGAGATCACCAGGTGGACACTTGTGGCTGCTGCCCTGGGGGTCTGCTTGGGCCTCCCTTCCCTGTTCGCTGCACCCTCCCACTCTTTTACTTCCTGGGACCCATCTCTGAGGCAGTTATGCCCCAGCGGACCATCCGGCCCTGGAGGTCTGAGGCGTGTAAGGAGGAAACAAACACCTGCTAAGCTTGTGCCTCCCAGGAACCTGAAGCCAGTGGCTATGGCTGGGAGTGAGTGCGACCGAGGGCTGCACAGCACGGCCTCAGGGAGGACTGGCTGACCCTTGTGCACAGAGGTGCTAGGAAGGGCCACTGCCCCCGAGGGCCTTGCAGTTGGGGAAGGGGAGGCCGGGGGTGCACTATTCACCCGGGCGCTTCAGCAGGCTGCCACAGACGCCCAAGGCCTACTACAAACCCTGCACGTAGCCCCAGGGCACGCACGGGATATCTTTGCCATGCGGGTTTGGAGGAACATCCTGATGCTGAGGCTGCTCACAGCTCTGGGCCCTTCCTGCTCACAGGCCCCCTGATCATGCCTTTGGGGCAGCCGAACAGCACCCTTGTCGCTGTGTCTGTCTTTCTTCTGCTGACCAGCCTGACCTACCTCCTGTTCAAGCTGTCACCCAGGTTGGTACCCAAGGGATGTGTGTGTGGCTGTGTGCATGATTGTGAATGTGTTATTGTATGTGTGTGTATTTGTGCGTGCATGTGTGTGTCAGCGTGCACGGTAGGTGTGGTGCCGAGGGCTAAACCAGCAGCCCCCCCTCACCCCCCCTCCGCCCCGGCCGGGCTCCTCCTCTCCTCACCGCCAGGTCCTGGATGGGGTGGGGCTTTCAAGCCTCTGCCTTGGACCAGTGTGGAGTTTCCAATTACCTGGTTTGAGGGAGCAGAGGGCAGTGTGACCCAAAAGAACCAAGGAGGGACCCAAAGTCACAGGGACCAAGAGCCTGAGTCTCTTGTCTTCAGCCTCTCCTGGGGCTTGGTGGTTTGCTTACTTGTTAACACATCCTGTGAAAACAGTTATGGGCATCTGGGGCGCACAGGACCCTGTTGGCAGCTCTGGTGGATGCCTCAGAGAACGAGATGAACATGAGGGCTCTTCTGAGATAAGCCATCACATGTCAGGGTGCAGGGCCTCATCAAGGAGGGGGGCCCGCAGGTCACTGGCCAGGTGCGGTCACGTCGCAGAGAGGGTGAGAAGAGGTCGGACGAAGAGAGCAGAGTGATGGGGTGGGGAGTGGTGAGGGAGAGCGGTGCTGGGCGGGGCCGAGAAGGTGGGCTTGTCCTTGGAGCAAAGAAAAGTGCCCGAAGCGTGTTAAACCATGTGTGTGTGATATGGTTTATGTTTTGCAAATGGGTTGTTGAGGTACAAAGGGATGGGAAAATCTGCTGAGAGGCCAGTGGTAGTGCCCAGAGAGAGGCAGTGGAGCTTCAGCAGGTGAAAGAAGTGAAGATAGAGCAAAACGGAGGGGCAGGTTTAGGGTCTTAGGAAGAGAATCCGAAGGGATGCGCGGGCAGAGGAGATACGGCAGTGACTCCTGACCTCACCCCTGAGGTGGGGAGCTAGAGGTTCCAGGCCCCCGGGAGGTCGGGAAAGTTGATTTGGACTGCTGGGTTGGGGCCTGTGCCACATCCTCGGGGGAGGGCGAGTGGGCCCAGGGCAGGGAGATCTGGTACTCAGGGATCTAGTCAGGTGGGGAAGGGAGATGCCACCTGCCTGCAAAGGACGCAGGTGAGGTTCCTGGAGGCACTGGCTCCCTCTGTGAGCTGAGATCACAGCTGGTTCCCCACCCCGACCCCCTGGTCTCACCATCACAGCTCGCCCTGTACAGGACACATGTCTGGGTATAAGTTGGTTCCGTGGGGTCATTAGCCAGGGAGGCCGCAGGGTGCCAGGTGCTGGGTCTTCCCCTGAGAGCAGGTGTGGCCCTGGCGAAAGGGGAGAGCGTGGGGGCAGCAGCAGACAAGGCAGAGCTGGTCGACTGCTGGCTGGCAGGGAGCTGAGCGCCCTGCAGGGACCGCACGCTCCCTGCAGTTGGGCCTCTGGAGGAGCCCCTCCTGAGCAGGCCTCTGACTGTCCTCTCTGGACCTCAGGGTGAAGAGGACCTTTTACAAGAACGTTCCCTCTCCGGTGGCCTTCTTCCAGCCTCTCTACAGTGTGCACAACGGGAATTTCCAGGTGCGTGCGCTGGCTGCCCCGGGGGCGCGGGGGGCGGGGCAGGGGCTGCCCAGATATCTGGCCAGCTCAGGATGTGGGCTCTGGGCGAGGGCTGGGTGCGCATGGGGGCCTTTGTCAGTGCTTTGAGCTGTTTTGGTATATGTAGTGGGGTGGGTTTAAACTTACACACTGTGTCTCAAATGGGCAAACAAATTCACTTGATTTTCTGTTGTTCATTTCCTTTTGTTCTTGTGTCTCTAATTCCATTGCTTATAGAAAAAAAAAAGTGAACTTCCTTATGATAGCCCCTGTCTCTTCTGGTTTGCAGCAGCCCCTTTGAGGTAAATAGTCAGTTCAGGGTGCAAATGACGGGGGCTGTCTGCACCTGCCACGTCCTGTCCTTCCTTCATCTCCGAAGGTGTCTGTTGTGTCTCTGGGCTGTGGGGAGGGTCTCTAGTGCTTGAGCTGTCCTCGCGGGTCCCTGGGCTGCTGCTCTGGTGGCCTTGTGGAGTGCCTGGCTCTTCCCGGTCGCCCTGGGTCGCACGCTGCTACCTTGGCTGATGAGAAGGCTCCACGTTCCCCGCTGTGTGGAACTCCGGTGGGCCCCACGGGGCAAAGGCAGGCTGAGGGCAACCGGAGGACTGCGCCCGGTCCTCTGTGCGGCCTGCGCCCCTCCTTGCGGGCCTGGTCCTCCTTGCTCCCCTGGCAGGAGGGCAGGTGGGGAGGAGGCTCCCATGGCGGGTCTCTGGTCTCCACCCTCTCAGGCCCCTCCCTTTGGGCAAGGGACAGGAGGCAGCGCTTTCGGGGGTCCACAGACCGGCCCTCCCTAGTGCTTCCCCTCCTGATGCTGCCAGGCTTCCCTCCGCCAGCCCTTTGCTCTCTCAACAGGGGCCTAGTTTTCAAGATTCTTGTCCAAAAGTATCATTCGAAACTTAAAGCCGAGCACTTTGTCCTCGGTGGAGTCCACCTCTTTTCCCAAGGCAGTGGGTGTGACAAGGCCCCTGAGGCAGTTGGACCAAGGCTGAGTGGGAAAAAGATCTGACGGCCCCTGGACTGAGTCTCGGGGGATGGGAGGTGGGGGTTGCTCAGAGCCCTTGCGGTGGTGGAGCCCTGTGTCTGCTCTCCAAGGGAGCGTGGCAGTGACAGAGGAAGTGATGTGTGTGGTGCCTGTGGTGGGGACTCCTGGTCCCACCTGGGATCGGCTTCCTTTCGGAAGCGGGGACTTCCCGTGGCCCCACGAAGGGGCCCAGTCGGCCTGCCTCAGCCCAAAGGCTCCAGCCCGGACGGCCTCTCCGGTCTCCAGCGTGCGTGTGAGGGAGTTTGAGTGGGGTGGGGTGAGCCCTGTGGCTGCTGGAAGCGCCTGGAGCAGCACTCAGAGGCTGTTCTCGGTCCTCGGCACCTGTCCCCACCTGCACCCTGTTTCAGGCTGCTGTGAGCACCAAGCCCTGTGCTGGGAGACCGGTGACAGGCCTGGAGGGACTTGGGGTTTCATGTGGAGATTGGGCTGGCACACGGGGGGACAACAGAATGTTCCAGGCACAGGTGTTACATGGCCTCTGGGTATGGGTATCAGGAGGGCTTCCTAGAAGCGGGGGGGCTGCCCGCAGGGTGAGCCCTGAACATGTTGCCCGACTCCCCGTGCTCTGTTGCAGACCTGGACGGGCACTCACAGAGCTGGTGCGCAGCTGAGCCAGGACTGTGTCGGCGCCGCACCAGGAACCTCGGAGTCCAGTGTCCGGGAGGCCATCGCGTTGCTTACCTATGACCCGGTGGATCCCTGGCCATTCGTGGGCCTGGAGGAGGAGGAGGGCGCTGGCACTGGCCTCCCAGCAGATGTGTTGCCAGCGGCCCTGGAGTGGGCCGGGCAGCCGCCTGCCTACCTGCCGCAGGAGGAGTGGGTCGCCCTGAGCCCCGGCAGGCCAGCTCCCCTCCAGGCAGAGGGCGGTAGCAGCGACTACTGTGCTCTGGGCTGTTATGGGGGCTGCCACCCCTCGCCCTTCCCAGGAAACACACAGAGCTCTGGACCCATCCCGCCCTTGGCCTGTGACCTTTCCTGTGATCAGCAGAGCCCGGATGTCAGGCAAGGAAGCAGGCATGTGGTAGCTGGCCATGGTCAGAGGCAAGACCCCGGGGAACAGGCTGCATAAGGACCTCCTATCCTTGGTGGACAGTCCTGAAAGTTCGGGAGCCCTGACTCGGCCAGCTGCACTGTGTCCATTTTGGGGAAAATGGCCGTAAGCGCCTGGAGCTGACCCTTCTGCAGTGCTGCTTAGGCAGTGGCCAGACACGGACGGAGGCAGGATGCGCCTTCTCCCTCCCTTCTACTTAGCACCTGGGGAGAGACCCCTGCACTCAGCACCCTGCCTGCCAACCCCCGCCCCGGCTTCCCTGCCTGCTTCCTGGCTTGACCCCAGGCTCCTCTGAGAAGAGGGCTGCTCTTCACGGCCTGCTCTGTCCTCACCCCCTCAAAGGGCCTGCTGGGCCCAGTGGACACAGGTGAGATGCCGTGACCTGGCTGAGTGTTCTCGATCTGTGCCTCCCTGAGGCGCCTCTCTTACTGAGATTAAAGGCATTGAGTAGCTGTTCCAACTGCTGGTGGCTGGGAGGGGGCGCAGAGGAGGGTGAGGATGTGGAGTCTGGCCATTCCCGGGCTTTCTGGGCTCTTGAAGTAGCAAAGTGGAGGCTCAGTGACCAGCTGCATCTGAGGCCGACTCCTGCCCTTCCTCGACCTCATCCTGTCGCGGGCCCCAGGAGGCTGAGAGCCGTGGCCAAAGTCAGGGCTGGAAGTGACCACCCAACCGTGGCTTTGGCCTGTGCAGGGCCATGCCTCCACCCAACGCCAGTGAAGTGTGGTGGGTAGGGCAGAGGGTGCCTGCATCTCTCTCCCAGGGCTGCCTTAACAAAGTGCCACAAACAAGGTGGCTTAGAACAACAGAAATTTGTTGTCTCTTGGTTCTGGAAGCTGAAAGTCTGAAGTCTAGGGGTTTGCAGGGCTGTGAAGACGCCAGGGACGATCTGTTTCAGGGCTCTTCCCGCCTTCGGGCAGTTTCTTGACTTGGGACAGCATAGCGCCAATCTTTACAAGGTGTTTTCCTTGTGGGTGTGTGTCCTAACTCCCCCTTTTTATAGCAACATGATCATAGTGGATTAGGGCTGACCCAAATGACCTCATCTTGACTTGGACTCTATTTTTCTATAAGGCCACATTCACAGGTACTGGGGATTAGGACTTCAACATACAAATTTTTTTGGAACCCAATTGAACCTGTAGCAGCGTTTCGGCCTCTGTCAGCGATCTCCTACCCCCTGATGGTACAAGACACTGTGGCCCCTCCCAGGGCACCTTGTCATACTTACTGGGTACCTTAGGAAGAGGACCCTGTTTTACCTGGCTGCTGGGCTTGGGGTGGCTGCTGGGACCATCTACCAGGTGAGGGCTGGGACAGAACTCTGAGAGTTGGAGGGACTATCGTTTTGAAAGCAGGATACAGTGGAGGCCTGTCTCTCTCTGGGTGTTGAGTGTCTGTCTCTCCAGAGTCCCCTGCAGCCTGGGCAGGAAAAAAAACACTTATAGCTCTAGGCCCCCGAAGGAAAAGACCCCTTCTGGCTCAGACAGGCATCACCCACCCCTCTGTGTGCTTGTAGAGCCCCCAAGGTTTTGTGGGAGCCTCAGCCAGCCAGATCCTGGTCAGCAGGGGAGAAACAGGGCCCAGAATGTATCTCTAGTACCCAGGGAGTGGGAGGGGTGTGGGAGGAAGTGAGGTGCAGGCATCTTCAGCTCTAACCAAGTATAAAAATACTATTGTGACTCCACTTCCTGGAGCCGACCCCTGGGGAGCCCCAGGCTGGTGTATTTATAACAGTGTCTGCATGGCTCATGCGGCTTCACGTGGGGCCTGGGCCACCTACATGATCAGACAAGTGGCCCCCCCCCCCCCCCCCCCCGCTTGGGACACCTTTTCTGCGTGGCTGGGGACAGTGGTCATGTGATTCACACACTTTCTCTGGAGACCCAGCAACTCCCAGCTGGAACTTGAGGGTGTAGCCACTTCGCGGCTCTATGAATGGTTGTGGCTGAGTCACGCCTGCCCCTTCAGCCCGTGGGACTCACGACACTTCGTAGAGTTGCTGTCAGTTCCCCCGAGCAGGATGCCAGCGCACTGTGGGGCTCTGGAAACGCTGATTTCCCCGGACTGCCACGAGCCTCGGAAACCACGTGCTCAGGTCTGCTGTGCGGCAGAGGGACGTTCAAACGGCCTCCTGCAGCCTGCGAGCCCCATGAGGGAGTCGGTGACGCAGAGCAGCTGTGGGGGAGTCACAGAGAAGGCAGCCTGGGGAGGGGGCTGTGACACTGCTTGTGAGTTGAAGAGTGGAGTGGACAGTATGGCTGGAGCACAAGTATCCAAAATGGGGCCGACCAGTGCCCGGGCGGCAGCTGGACCGAGGAGGGGGCCCCAAACGCCAGGCTAAGGGCGCAGCGAGGGGAGCGGGATGCCTTGGGATGGATTCTTTATTCTTCATTTTGCAATGAGGTAAAATTCACATTATATAAAATCAACTGTTTTTTAAAAACCCTCACCCAAGGATATCTTTATTGATTTTAGAGAGAGAGGAAGGGAGGAGGAGGAGACAGAAAGAGATATAGACACAGAGGAGGAGAGAGAGAGAGAGCTGCGAGAGGGAAACATTGCTCAGTTGCCTCCTGTATGTGCTTGAAACTTCGGTATGTGCCCTGACTGGGAATCGAACCCTCAACCTTTTGGTGTATGGGATGACGTGCCAAACAATTGAGCCACGTGGCCAGGGCAAAATCAGCTGCTTTAAAGTGTACAATTCAGTGACATTTAGTACCTGCATAATATTGTGCAACCATCACCTCTATCAAGTTCCAAAAATTTTCATCACTCCCAAAAGGAAATTCTCTGCCCAAAAAGCAGTCTCTCCCCATTCTGTCCTCCCTCTGACCTCTGGCAATCTCTAATCTACTTTTAGCCCCTATTCTGGATGTTTCATATAAATGGAATCATATAATATGTGACATTTTGTGTTCAGCGTTTTTCTTTTACTATAATGCTTTTGAGGTTTACCCACATTGAAGTATTGGTACCGCACTCCTTTTTGTGGCTGAATACGGGGTGGGGCAAAAGTAGGTTTACAGTTGTTCATACAGAAAATAATACAGTAATTAATAAGCAATGATACAAGAATAAACTTTGTGTTTTGCATACTCACAACTGTAAACCTCCTTTTGCCCCACACTGTGATAGTCCACTGTATGGGTTTATCCATTTATCTGTTGACGGACATTTGGGTTGTTTCCACCTTTTCACCCCTGTGAACAGTGCTGCTATAAACATTCGTGTACAAGTTTCTGTTCGAATACCTGTTTTCAATTCTTTTGTGTATATTCCTGGGAGTGGAATTGCTGGAACATATGATAATTCTGTTTAGGTTTTCGAGGAACTGCCAAACTGTTTTCCACAGTGCCTGCAACATTTTACATTTGCATCATTAATGCACTAGGGTTCCAATTTCTCCACATCCTCTTGTTTGTGCCCCTTTTTTGGATAGTATCCATTCTAATTGTTATGAAGTGAAACCTCATTGTAGTTTTGATTGCATTTCCTCAATGGTGAGTGATGTTGAGCATCTTTTCATGTGCTGTTTGTATATCTTCTTTGAAGAAAAGTCTGTTCAAGTCCTTTGCCCATTTTAAGAATTGAGTTGTTTCTCCTTTTGTGTTTAGTTGGAAGAATTCTTTATATATTCTGGATACTAATCCCTTATCAGATACATGACTTGCAAAATTTTCTATCCTCCTTAGGTTATCTTTTTACTTTTTGATAGCATCCTTTGATTCACAGAAGTTTCAAATTTTGATGAATTTCAATTTATTTAATTTTTCTTTTATTGCCTGTGATTTTGGTGTCATCCCCAAGAAATCATTGCCAAATCTAGTCCCAATAAACACATGAAAAGATGCTCAATATCACTGGTCATTAGGGAAATTGAAAATCAAAACCACAGTGAGATACCACTTCATACCCTTCCGAATGGCTATAATCAAAAAAGCGGAAATGAATTCGTTTTGGTGGCAACGTGGAGAAACTGGAACTCGTACGCACTGACGATGAGAACGAGGGGTGACAGAGGTGAGGGTTGCACAAATGTGGATGTACTTAATGCCACTGAACTTTATACTTAAAATGGTTATTTTTTTGTGTTCTGCTTCTATTCCATCTGTGTATTTCTTCACCACTATCAGGCTCTCTTCATTAGTGTAGCTTTATGATAAATGTTTGGATCCAGATGTGTTAGTTCTTTAATTTTTTCATCAGTCTTGTGTTGTGTAGTCTAGGGTTAGAAACAGTTTGTCATGTTTTTAACCTGGCAGTTTGATTGGGATTCCACTGAATCTATAGTCAACTTAGAAATAAAGAATTTTCATTTGAACACTATTGAATGTACTACTATTAAACAAGGTATATCTTTTGTATTCATTTATATTTTATATTTTATTTGATTTCTCTTAATCATGTTTCAATGTTTTCTGAATGCATACTTTTATGTATTTTATTAGATTTATAGTGAAGGACTTCAATTTTTGGAGTAAATTATTTATTTTTTCATTTCAAATTCCTTTTTTTTTTTTCCTATACATCATTGCTGATTTGCTTCATCCTTCTGGGCTGCTATAACGTAGAAATTTGTTTTGTAGCCTGGAAGTCTGAGATCAGAGTACCAGCACAATTAGGTTAAGGGCCCTCTTTCTGGTGGCAGACTTCCTGTATCCTCCCAGGGAGGAAAGGGCTAGGGTCTCATAAAAGGACTCGTTGCATTCTTAAGGGCTCCACCCTCATGGTCTCATCTCCTCCTGAAGTCCCCACCTTCTAACACCATCACATTGGGCATTAGGGTTCCACCACGTGAGTTTTGGGGGAACACGAACATTCAGACTGCAGCACTGTTCTATAGCAAAATAGGCAGACTTTATATTGACCTTATACTTTGCTTTTTGTTATCTTTTTATTTCTCCATCACAGCATGGGAATGGTATGCTCTTTGTCAGTTGGAATTTCCAAATTATGACACTGAATAATCAGAACACGGAGTTTCAGAGACTCACCACGCCAGCCTAAGGGGGTGA